TAGCAGGGATACCAAGTGTGGATACCAGAGGCTATCACAGGAGGGCATGGACAGTGAGGGACAGGAGAAGGACTTAGGAAAAAAATATTTAATAGACACAAGAATGGTAAGCTATCTGTCAAGAATGATGTATTTGGTAATATCTTTGACTTGGTTGACATTCAACGCATGTATGCTTTGAAAAATCATATTAAGGCTGTAAAGATATACAATGATTGAGTAAAATTGAAGTATATATAACTCAGGAAGAAACAAAACACAATTTAAAAATGAACAAAGGACCTGAATAGACATTTCTCAAAATAAGACATACAAATAGGCAATAGGAATATGAAAACATGCTCATCACTAATCATTTGTGAAATGCAAATCAAAATGAAATATCACCTCTCACCAGTAGGAATGGCCGTTATCAAAAAGACCAAAAGAGGATGTGGAGAAAATGGAACCCTTGTAAACTATTGATGGGAACATAAATTAGCACAACCATCTTGGAAATCAGTAAGGCTGTTTGTACAGACTGAAAATAGGACTATCATATGATCCAGCAATCCCACTTCTCAGTATACATTTGATAGTCTGAACGCTTATGTTCCCTCAAAATAATATGTGCGATAATATCTTCAATTGAACCAACATACAGTGTATTCAGGGTGGGAAAATGCATTTGATATGCTGAAATGATACACAGTGATTGAAGGTAAAACCAATAATAATAATAAAGAAAAATAAAATAAATGAACTTAAAAAAAAGTTGAAATTCTTACTCTAAGATGAAGATATTAGGAGGCAGGCCCTTTGAGAGGTGATTAGATAATGGTGGTAAATGCCTCCTATGTGGGATTAGTGCCCTTATAAAGGAGGTCGAGGGTGAGCTTATGACCTCGTGGTTAAGGGAGCTGGATCCCACATGACCAGCTCACAGCTTCAGTCTCAGACTCAATAGCTTAAAAAACTCACCAGCACTTGTGCATGCATGTCTGAAACCCTGAAAGGAGGAAGAAATGGAGGAAAGGGATTATAGTGTGACCATTTCCCTTGGGGGTTGCTTTCTCTTCCTCTCTCCTTCTCGCTCTGTTTCTTGCTCTCTCTCTGGTGAGCACACACATCTCCTGGTGAATGATTAACTAAAATTAAATAAAACAAAACATAAAAGAGGCCCAAGATAAATCTCCGTCCCTTGTAACTTGTGGTTGGTGTGAGAAGACGGCTGTCCATGAGGAAGTGGGCATTTCACACATGCTGACTCTGCCAATGCCTTAGATTTTTCAGGGTAAAGAAACGTGAGAAATGTTTCTGTATAAGCCTCCCAGTTTAGGATATTTTGTTACAGCAAACTGAAAAAAACTGAGTGGAAATTGGCAGCAAGAAGTAAAGGTGCTGATATAGCAAATATCTAAAATGTGGATGCAGCTTTGGAAGTGGGATGTTCGGAGGTGTGTGCGGGAGAAAGCTTCCATTGCCCTGAAGGGACCTTTAAGGATGATTCTGCAGAGTTTTAGAAAGCCTCAATCTTCTTAGAACATACCTAAGTAGTTGTCCACAGTATTTGATAGAAATACAGATGGTAAAGGACATTCTGATGAGTTCTCAGACACATTTGAGAAATACGTTCTTGGACAATGGAAGAAAAAAATCCTTATTATAAATTAACGAAGAACTTGACTAATTGTGTTCCTGTTCTGTTGCTCTGTGGGAGGAAGAACTTGTGGACAATAATATTAGACATTTGGCTGAATAATTTTTTTTCTTTTATGATTTCTTGTTTAAATCTAGTTGTACATATGAATACCACATGATATGGTTTTTCAAATTATGCATGCAGTACATTACAATCTAATCAGGGATATTATCATTTTCAACAGAGAATTTTACTTTCTTGTGTCTGTTAAGTATTTCTTCCCTGCATAAAATGTTGAAAGTTCAGCTTGGTTTCTCTTGATTGCCAATAGTAAATACAAGAAGAGAGAAATGACTAAAATACAAAACTGTTAGTTAAAGGGCAAGTAAAATTTGAAATTTTAGAAAATTATCAGCCTCTCCACACTAGGAAAAAATAAGAAAGCCTGCTCAGGGGAGAACAAGAGTATGACCAGGTGCTGAATAAGAAGAGTAGTATGTCCAGGTGTTTTCTGACTGAGCGTTTTCCTATTCTTTGGGTAAACACTCGGGAGTGGAATCACTGGGTAGAATGATAATTTTATTTGTAGGTCTTGGAGGAACTTCCACACTGTCCTCCATAGTGGCTGTACTCATTTTTATTCCCATCAACAGTGTAGGAGGGTTCCCCTTTCACTTGCTCATCCATGTTTATCTCAACATTATTGACAATCGCTGAGACATGGAATTAACTCTAATGCCCAAAAGAGACGACTGGAAAAAATATGACAAATACACGTTATGGAATAGTAGCCATTAAAAAAAAAAAAAACCTAAAAACACTAAATTTTATACACAAAGTAGATGAATATGGAAGATTTAAAGCTAAGTGAATCACGCCAGACTATGAAAGAGAGGCCTTGTCTGTCCCCACTCAGTTTATACAGAACGTCTGCACTTTCTGGTAGAGACTGAAAGACTGGGCGGTATAATGGCAGAGAAGGCAACTGTAGCTACCAGAGGCAGTAGAGGAAGAGGTGAATAACAGGAAGTTGGAGGGAGGGGATCGGGGAAAAAGTAATTTAATAGATATGTAAATAATGAGTTGTCTGTAGATGAAAATGTATATGGTTATATCTTTGACTTGATTGCTATGCACTGCATTCATGCTAGAAAAGTCATTTTGTATACTGTAAAGATGTACAGTGATTGGGACCAGCAGTTGGCATAATAGCTATGTCACAGGGCTGGTGCAAGGCTGGGGGTGCTTTAAATTTCAGTAGGAAATTATCTGGAACTTTTAGTTGAGATAAAAGTCAGTATGAGGGACCAGGGGTTGGCATAATGGCTATGATGCTGGACTCTCATATAGTCAACCGCAGTTCGAGTCCTGGACCCGGTGGCTTAAACTCACGCCAGGTGTGAGTGTCTGTGTGCCCAAAGATCATCAGAGGAAAATGAAGGAGAAGGGATTGTGGTGTGGCCATCCCCCCTAGGGGGTGATTTCTCTCTTTCTGTCTCCCTGTCTCTCTTTTTCTGGTGAGCGCACTATAGCAAAAAACTCTCAAAAAAGAAAAAGATATACAGTGATTAAATATACATTTTCAAATGTAGAAATACAAAAATTAAAAAAGGGTAGTATCAGCTACGTCAAAGGAGCCCAGTGCTTTTTAAACGACGATTGTTTTTTATTTAAATTTATTTACTATTATTATTATTATTATTATTTTCCAGTTTGATCAGAGAGCGATAGAGGGAAAGTGAGAAAGTAAGTCATTAGGTCTGGGACTTGAACCGTGGTTGGCCATGTGAGAGTTCAGCACGTTTAACCACCACGCCATCTGCCGGCCCTGAGCCCAGTGCTTTTGATCAAGACAGTGAGGAGATGAGTCATCACTTTAACAGAAGCCAGACCTGTTGTCCAAGACAATAGAATGACTCCAAAGGCATTTCAGAGCCCATCGGGATGCTCCCACCTTCGCAAGCCCAGAGCACTAGGGATCGAGGAGCAGAACGATTTCAAGGCAGGGCTGCTGCCGCCCAGTCTGCCTTGCTTTGTGAACTCGACTTCCCACACTTCATCACCAGGCGTCCTGGTTCCCCCAAGTGCAGCTCTGGAAGGTTCTGGTATGGTACGTGGTGCATCCAGCAATGTATGGGGCCAGGACTGCCCAAAGCTATGGAGGCAAGTGAAGCTCTGAAGGTTGGACGGCCACCAGATCTGAAAGTCAGTGAGCCTGGAGGACAGAGTATTAAGCCAAGGAAGATTGTTCTTGAGCCTTAAGGTTCTGGATTTGCCTGGTAACCATCACCCATTTCTTCTTTCCTATTTGGGGGTCGGTGTGCCTATTCCACGCCTGCCCTCCCACTGCATTTTGGATGCACATGACATTTGATTGTACAGGTTCACATCTGGGGAGCAATTTACCTCAGAATACATTGTACCTTAAGTCTCACCAAACCACCTTCCTTTTCTGATTTGAATAATAGTTAGAAGACACTTTGGACTTTGATATTAAAATTGATGCTGGAACAAATTAAGACTTTGGGGGCTATTGGAATGAAATGAACATACTTTGCATGTAAGAAGGACATGAATTTAGGGTTTCTAGGAATAGAATATTCTCATGTCAATGTTTATATCCTCTCGAATTTTATATATTGAAATCCTTACTCCTAAGGCAGTGATATTGGGAGATGAGGCCTTAGGGAGATGATTCCGTCCTAGGGACAGATCCCTCAAGGGTGAGATTAGCACCCTTCTAAAGGAGGCCTGAGAGAGACCCCTGTTCCTTCCACCACAGGAGATCAGAGCGAGAGATGGCTGTCCGTGAGGAAGCAGGCCCTCGCCGAACCACTTAGCTGTCCCCTTGATTCCGAACCTCCCAGCAGGCAGAACTGTGAGAATTAAGTGTCTGTTGTTCACCAGCTTCTGTTGTTTATAAACTGTTGTTTATGTTTTTTGTTATAGCAGCCTGAATGAAGTAAGACAATAGCCAAAGGAAAAGGAAATAATATTATAATATTTATCATAATAAATAAATAATATTCATGAAGAAGTATCGGAGCTCCCAAGTTTGCTGCAGCTTTATTCACAATAGCCGAGATACGGGAAGACCCGAGGGTACATGGTGATGAACAGGTAAAGAAGCTGTAGTGTGCTAACACCCCACTGACAGCCATAACAAGAAGGAAATTCTGTCATCTGTGACACGTGGATGAACCTGCGGAGCCTTACGCTCAGTGAAATAAGCCGGGCATGGAAAAGACAAACTGCATGATCTCTCTTGTATAAGGAATATGAAAAACTAAACACCCAGAGGGACACAGCAGAAAGGCGATTGCCAGGGGCTGCATGGTGGAAACATGAGGAGATGCATACAAAGCTTTAATTGTGCAGGATGAATAAGTTCTTGAGAATCTACGTGTGACCTGATGACTATAGTTAATAATACTGTGTATTATATTTTTGAAATTGGTTAAGAGTAGAGCTTATTCTTATTAATCATATGAGATGATAGATAAGTTAATTATATTGATTTAATCATACACACATATATATATACACACACATGCCTAAATTAAAAAGAAACAATGGAATTTAGATTATTTCCAAAACATATACCATTTTTCTGAACGCATCCCCTTCAGCCTCTTTAAAACATCTCCGAATATATTCCTCTCGGCTTCCACCCTTATATTTCTTATTTTTTTGTCATATTCCATCTTTAGTGATCTTTTTTTTTCCTCTTCTTGTTTTAATTTATTAGCATATTCCTTCTCTACTTGAAGAATGTCTGCATTTAGTTGATCGGTATAGATTTTCTTCAAAACTTCTGCCTGTCGTCTCAGCCTTTCCTCTGTTTCCTTGTAAGTGTCATCAGAGAAGTACGCCCCTCCGTTGCTCTGCACCGTGGTCTCTATCAGCTCCACCAGCTCCTGCACTTGACCTTCCTTCTCAGCCTCGCCTGCTTTGTTGTCGAAGGCACAGCAGCGATTCCCACACTCCTTAACGACCGTTTTTAGCTTCTCATCTGACTCTTCTATAAAGTCACTGAGGCTCTGATTTTCCAGCTCATCCTTGCGAGTGAACAAGATGATCATGTACTTCATGGCTGGCTCCCCCAAGACAGCCTTGATCAGTGCAATTGTTTTCTGCTCTTCCTCTGTGAAACGGCCCAGTCGCAAAACCATGATGATGGCGTGAGGGCCTGGGCAGGAGTAGATGACGCACTTGCTGATTTCAGAGCATGTGGTTTCCAGGCTCTCTTTGGTGTCAAAGAGCCCCGGGGTATCAACAACGAGAAGGTCTTTCCCCTTCCATTTCTGGTATGCTTTTTGACAAGTCTTAGTAACTGCATGCGCAGAAATTTTAGAAGTAAATTTTGGTTGCCCAAGGATGGTGTTTGCTGTGGCACTTTTCCCACTTCCAGTCTTCCCTACTAGAACGATCCTCAGTGTGTTGTCCTGATGGTCAGCCATGTTCATATTAGAGAACTCCGAAACTTAGACATACACGAGACCTTAAGAGAGAGAAAGAGAGAAGAATAAAGGCCAATTTAAGTATGTAGAATCCATTCCAAACAGTCTTTTCCTCTTTCTTTCTCCCTGAACATTCGTAATATTATCAATGTTTTTGTTGTTGTTACTAAAAGTTTATTTATTTATTTCTCCCATGAGTGACAAAGAGAAACAGTGTATGAAAAATAGTGTAATGAAAAGACTGATAGATCTGATTACATAAATATCTAGACAATAATATAGGGAAAAAAAAACATAGACAATTAGGACGTTAATGTCAAACAGGGGAAAATGTTTTCTGATTTATACCAAAGAGGGTTAACTTTTCCAATTTACAAAGAATGTCTTCAAATTAAGAAATGAAAGACTAACAACTTGATATAAAATGAAGCAAGAGATATAAAGAATCAGTTCAAAAAATGCAAATGTCCCTTAATACATAAAAAGATATTCAATAATAAAAAAAATTTAATAGAAAGCATTTAATGGACACAAAATGGAAAACTGTCTGCTGATAATAATGTGTATGATAATATCTTTGACTGGACTAATATGCATTGTATTTAAGATGACAAAATTTATTTTGTATCCTGTAAAGATGTACAGTGATTAAATGTAAATAAATAAGTTTTTTTTAAAAAAAGATATTCGAGTTCACTTGCGATAGGCAAGAAATACAAAAAACGCATTAGAGAAAAATTAAACAAAATGAAATTATACTGAGATCCTATCTGTCAGCTATAGATAAAGCCAAAATTCAGAAGTTTGCCAGCATAATCTACTAGTAAAGGAATGGAGGACACAGGTCATCTCCTACATGACTAGTGGGAATGGAAGCAAAGCCCAGCTCACTAGAGCACATGCCAGCAATGTCCTGCAAACATTACAGATGCATTTACTCCTGGATTATCAACTCCAGTTTTACGATTTATCCCAAAGCTGCAGACAAAAATAGAGAAGGAAGTGTGAGAAGGCTGTTCATGTGCGAAACACAAAAACCTACCAAATGCCCTACCAGGGATCAGCTGAATAAACAGAGTGTACTGTCTGGCTGTAAAAAGGAATGAGACCTAGTTCTCCATACCTACATGGAGAGAGCTCCAGGTTATATAACAATATAACAATCTAACAAGATGAAAAGAGCAAAGCGGACAAAATAATGTATGGTTTCCTAGCATTTATATGCTAATGAGGAATGTGAACTGTATATAAATAGTTTTTAATATACATATGTGAAAAAGCAGGGCAGGATAATCTTAAAATTAAACAATAAAACAGTTATTTATATGAGGATGGAAGGAATATGGTGAAGGGATGAGGACAGAAACTGGAAACCAGACTTCTTTGAATATACTTTGTAGATGTAATCTGAAATCATTTAAATTGTTTACAAAATTATACAACAAAAATTATATTTAAAAATACCAAAGGCTGGTCCCATGGTCTAATGGTTAAGGGAAGCTGGATCCCACATGGTCAGCGGCAGTTCAAATTTCGGCCCCAATGGCTTAAAAAAAATGCTGAGTGCATGTGCGTATGTGCCCCAAACCCCAACAGGAGGAAAGACAATTGCAATATAACCACCGCCCCCACCAGGGCAAGTAGATCTCTCCATCTCCTCTGACAAACACACGCACAAACCCTCTGGCAATTAACACACACACACACACACACACACACACACACACCAGTATAAATCAAAAACAAGCAAAATGTATGAACCTAACTTTGCTTTGCATGTTGGAAGAAGCACACAAAGAACTGGTCCCAGAAGTTCAGTGTCGTGGTTCCTCAAAAAGTTTAAAACAGAGGGCTGGCCTATAGATTAGGAATTAAGGGAGCTGCATCCCAAATGGCCAACTGTGGTTCAATTTCCAGCTGCAGAGCTTGAAAGACATACCAGATGCATGTGTGTTTATGCCAAAATTCCAAGAGAATGGAAAAGTGGAGAAGGGATCACAGCACGACATGTCCCATTGGGAAGTGCTTTCTCCCTCTTCCTCTCTGTGTCTCCTCTGTTTCCAAGGAGGACACGTGCCCCTCTGACCATTTTAAAAAGAAGAAGACAAAAAGCTAAAAATAGAACTACTTTATGATTAATAATCCCACCACTAGGTTTTTATTGAAAGGAAAAAAGGAAAAGAAATATGCATGTCAAAGAGATACCACACTTCCATGTTTATTGCAGCACAATTCACAGTATCCACAATAGAGAATCAACCTAAGTGTCCATCAACAGATAATTGGATAAAGAAATTGTGGTGTATGTACACAACAGAACAGTACTCAGCCATAAAAATGAGAACTTCACTTCTGGCGACATGCATGATCCTGGAAGAAATAATGCTGAGTGAAATAGGACAGGCAATGAAAGGCAAATACCGAATCTTCTCACACATTACCCAGAAGCTAAAAGACCTGATCACATTGAAGTGAAGTGTAGAATGGGGGCTACCAGAATCTGGTAAAGGAAGTGGGAAGAGGAAGATAGGGAGAACTCCTCTAGCAGTTGCAAAATTAAAGCTATTAATAGCTTAGAGGAATGAGTTCTAGAGTGTTAACACACAGAGGAGTAGTTATAGTTCATAATTAATTATAATTGATGTATCATTTAAAATAGATCAAGGAAAGGATCTCAAATACACACAGAATGCAACACAAAGTAACGGTAACTGTTAGATGATGGCTCTCTACTGTCCTGATTTGATTATGACATGTTGATTGCATGTATTGAAAAATCACACTGGCTAGTAACTATAAATACATACAGCTATGTATGTCAGTTAAAAATAATGAAGGAGAAATTGGTAATGAATAAATAGAATTTAATAATTTAATAATAATTGGTTCAAGAGGCTTGAGAAGGCAGAGATTTCACTGTCTATGCTCAGTGGGATGTACTCCAAGGACAACTTTATAAAACCTGCAAAACATTTCAAACATTTCTCAGTTTTAGGGGTGTGTCGTGTGTGTGTGTGTGTGTACACATGCGCCAACAGTTTTGAAGTCCTCTACAGGTATAAAC